ATCACAAAATTCTGTTTCGTTTTTTTTTTTTACTTTTTTACTTCACTGAGCTTGAGGCTGATCGGCTGTGGCCCCTGATCTTGATGCAATTAATAAACGGCGTTGGCCGCGCACATTTAATGGCCCTGGATATCCGGAAGCGAGTAATAAAAGGGTTCGAAATCGGGATCGGGCAGAGATCGCGATTATGATTTTGATGGTCTCCATACTACATTCTATCCCCTCCCCCCACATCCAATACCCAAAGAGCAGAGTCGCGGGCTAAGCCGAGGGACCACACCGAAAGCTGAGGGCAATTGCCAATTGCATTCATCAACATGACAGCTACTCGTCTGGCTCTGGCTCACGGGCTCTCGGGCTCTCGGGCTGTGTGTCTGTGTCTGCTGTCTGCTGTCCTCTCTGCCACCAATAGCTACTCTGGAGTCTCTGGGCCTTTTGTAAATTGACAGCCGCTGCTGCTCAATTTGAATGCAAACCACAAAATTGGATAATTTCCCAGTGACAATCGAGAGGGCTGTCCTCTGGTCTGGTCTGCTCTGGTCCTACCTCCCTGATATATGCAAAGAGCTAAAAGTTTCCCAGGAGCAGGCACTTGCCGGTGACCCCACAGAGTGCAGAGATCCCTCCTGGACCGACACAACAACAACAAAAAAAACAAGACAATGGCTTTTGGGGCGAATATGCAAAATAAATTTCACTTCCGAATCTTCCGAATGCGAATGCGAATCCTGGTGCTGCTGCTCTGCTGGTTGTTTCATGGCTTGTTTTACATATGTCCGCACCTAAGCAGAAGACACAAGACCACGACGACAACGACGGCGACGGCGACGACGACGATGGAGATGGGTCTGGTCACCCACCATCATCAGGCTGGAAGGCATCCAGCAGCCCTGGGGGACACTCGACAATGGGCCAAATGGCCGGCTTGAAAAGGCAAAATGCAGGCCAGGCAACTCGTAAATCCGCATTCGATTGCTTCGCTCGAAATCCATTCGAAATTGATTGCATTTGGGGCAGGATCAGCAAGGGAGGAAGGAGGGCTGCCGACGGGGGTTGGGTTGTTGTTGTGGGTGCCTGCTCAAAATGTTGCAATTAATTTTTGCACAATGCTCTTTGTGCTATTTAGTTATGGCAGACTCCTTCGACTCACTTAATTGCCCCCCGAAAAAAAAAAACAAAAACAAAAAACAGAACAAAACAGAGCAGATCAGAGCAGAGCAGAATCCAAAACGGTAGCTCCAAATCGGGGGATAAGGAAGCGGCAGTCGGAGGGCGACTCCTTTCAGGGTTCCTTCTGGGTCTTTGGCTTCTGGGTTTTTGGGGTATCTCTGCTTTGTGGCCTTTGATTTGCATATATTTTGGTTTTAATTAGTTAACAAGCTGCTTTCGTTTGTTGCGATTGCATGTTGAACCACGACGCGTATCGTAGATGCTGCTGCTGCTGCTGCAGGTATCTCGCCTGCCCCATGCCACACTACACTACACTCCTCGCTGCGGTTGCGGTTGTGGTTGCATGCATAAGGAGAGGACAGCACCAACAGCAAACGTATAAAATCAAACACGATTTTTAGCAGTTTTCAATTCCCGGAAATCTTGTACGATATGTAGCACCATACAACTGTGGATTGTGCTGATTGTTGTTGTTGTTGTTGTTGCCTGGATGCTGTTGCATCCCTATCCTGCTGCCCAGGCCAGGCACTGGCATCAGGCAACAGGCAACTGGCTTAAGCCCGCGCTCGATACGATTTCGATTCCGATTCCCCTCAGTATCGTGCAAATGTTTCATTATTTAACTGATTTCAGTTAGCCAAAGACGACAACAGCTGGGCCCCCAGGCAGAAGGCAGAAGGCAGGAGTCCTCCTGCCGGACAGGCGAACAGAACAACCAGACAACTTCAGTTGCTGGAATACCAGCGAAAATTCCAAGATGTTGTCATCAATTAAGCTGTGTGCCCCGTCCGCGGCCATGTGGATGGGATGGCGAGTGAACTGAGTGGTTGGCTGTTCACACCTGAGAGAACTTTATTAGTCCAGTGCAGGGCCCAAAAAAGGTGGCAAAGATGCGTAAATTATGGTCTAGGCCGAACAGCAAGCAACGAGCACTGGAAAGCAAATGGCGCTGGCCAATAAAATGCCAGATAAATCAAGCCAAAGACAAAGACCGAAGACCCAGTCAGTTGTAGGACCAGGAACCAGGAACCAGGGACCAGGGGCCAGGACCACAACGGACTGCACGCGAAGGTGAAGGTGGAAATCAGCAGTTGGAGCTGAGCAAATTCAGCAGAAATGAGCGGAGACAGAACTTATTTGCATTCGCCTTGTTGTCAGCCAAGTTGTCGTCGTCTCGGGCTCCATCGCTGTCGCTGTCTCTGCCTCTGGCTCCGTCTTCGTCTGGGTTTCTGTTTCTGTTCCTGTCTTCGTCTCCATGGCATCCTGCTACTGACAGTACTGGCTGCTGAGGCTAGGGAGCAGGCACGGGGATGTGTAGAGAAACGACAGAGTGAGAGAGAGAGCAAGAGAGAGGGGTAAAAGCCAAGCATGAAAACTGTTGCCCACGAGTCTGGCGAGTACGCGGTGGAGCATTTTGCCAGACAGCCTTTTGTTTCATCTTGTTAAGGTTTGAACTTTATGCCTGCTCCAGAGCTACTAGCCCCAGTGCTCCCCCCGCCCCAGTATCCCCTACTGCCTGGTTATTGTTTCTGGTTGGGGCTCTTTCTCTGCTCGTTCTCCTTGTTTTTGTTTTTTTTTTCGCTAAATTTCCAGGAACTTTTCAGGTGGCACAGCATGTTTGGGGGCCAGACACACTTTTGGTGGCCTCGTGCAGTCCCCATTGTGGGGGCTTTCAATTAAAATATATTTAAGCATAATTTGGCTAAAGGCAGAGAGATCGTTGGGTTCAGTGGGGTGGGGAGGGGAAATGCACAAAAATATAGAGGAAAATATAAAGATCTCTGTGCTGATCAAATTTCTAACATGTAGAATGGTTGAAAAGATTACTAGCCTATTATTTTTAAGTCTTTGAATCGTCTAGAGTTCTCATAGTTAATCCCAAGTTTTTCCCTTTTGCAGTTCAATCAATAAATAATATTTTATCTCTTTATATATTTATGGTCAACACCCCGCCTAGTTTTTATTTATTGTTCGCTCATTCTGTTCACCATTTTTTTTATTTTTATTTTATTTTGCGCATTTTGTGACGGCTTTTCATCAAAGCAGTCACGATGATGCCAACTCTGTCGCATACAAATGAATGCTTTTGGCTTAATGTGGTTTGCAAAAAAAAACATACATATACATATATAAACACAAGAAACAAAAAGTAAAAAAAAAGTATAAAATTTAAATGTTGTTTGGGCATGTTTTATATGTCATTATATAATCAGCACAAGTCGCACAAATCGCTTAAAATTAACCAGAACGAACTAAGCTCGAATCTGGCCCCTGCGGCGCCGCACCAGCAGCAAAGAATTTTTATTTTTTTACAGGCATACTACACTGCGTAACACAACTGTAAAACCAACTAGAATTTAAGCTGAAATTAGGAACCAAATTTGGAAAATAAAATAAATGATTGGCAAAGAGTTTTTTACCTTGCAAAAACGCCTAGATAAAACTCTTCAATTTAGTTTTCGTTAAGGAAGCGTCTTCCATTAGCTTAAAGCTAATATAGAACTGTATCTATATATAAAAATATATAAAAATATATATAAATCTATATATAAAACTCGCAAAAAATATACGACATCTAGGCTGATGGAATGCGTTATGTTTGTATATGTTTTGAGCGTTTTTATTTCTTTTTTACACCAGTACTTTTAGGGCAAAAACCGCGTAGCGGGGTATCCGCTAGTCGGATAAGCTACTCTTGCCTTTTTACTTGTATTTAATTTAGTTTTTGTTTATATGAAAATTTACGAGCACGTCGTTAGTTTTGGTTTCTTTTTGGGGGGTTCGCTTCGCTTCGAGTTATGGCCGAGCCGAATGTTTGGCTTGTGGCAAATGGCCGCGACGAGAGATGCTTATCGCTTGGGCGGGGGGCAATGTTAATTTCCAGCATTTAAAAGTGTAATTAACGCAATTTGAAATATGAAGCGACACAACAAAGAAAAGACTCAGGCAACAAACTTGCCGAGGGAGCTCTGGGAGGCGTAATGCGGGATGCGTGTACACCCAGACGGCGGCCAAAAGGAAGCAGGAAGCCCGGGACGAGGCATGAGAATATTTGATCATGACTCACGGACGGCTCGTGCTTGACACGTATTCCAGGAACGTTTGTCCATGTCCCTCTGCCCCACACACACACACTCACACACACAAAAACACACGCTAGTGCTAGCCTCCGGTAGCTACTGCCTTGATTCTGCACACAGAATTTCTAATTAGCCAAGGGCTCACACTCCCAGTCCCATTCCTTTTGACTGCTGCTGGCTTGCTCTGTTCTCCTTACCAATATTTATGCGTTCATAGGACTGGGCGCATCTATCAATTGGTAAGCTGCTGTGCGACTGCTCCGTTTGGGTGGCCCAACCACTTGTCTTTTGTCCTCAATAAATTATATTCGAACCGGTGTTTGGAATATTTGATTTGATTTCACTTGTTTTATGTAATTTATGGGATTTTCATGGGGTTTTTTCTAATGTTTTTATAATTTGTCTTTATTGGTTTTTTTCTTTTCTGTTGTGTTGTTGTTGGTATGCCTTGCTCGCTTCCAGTTTGTTTTTTTGTTTTTATCAGTTTTCAATTTGGTTATTGTACGAGTAGCTTATAATTTGCATAACTGTTTCATATAAATTATCGTAATTAACTAGGTGAATGTTAATGAGTATACAAAAAAGCGTGTGACAAGGCTGGCTTAAGGACTTCGATTTGGTTTCTGTTTTCTGTATTTGTATTTGGGGTTTGGGTTTTGACTGCTGCCACTAGTTAAACTCAACAATTTCGTTTTGGTTTTTCGTTCGTTTTGTTTTGCATATCTTACAATGAACTTCCCGGCGTGGGCTACAGCATTCGAATTTCTTTAACTATGACTTTTCCATACTTTAGTTGATTTCACGTACATATAAGTTTTATATTTAGTTTAAAACGCTTTAATAATAATTTTTAGTTTATTCTGTTAATTTTTTTTTACTATTTGTTTCAGTTGTAGTGTTCCTTTTGTTTGTTTTCGCTAAGCAAGAATTCAATTCATAAATAATAAGCGAAATGTAAATATATTTTTTATAAAAAAATTATAAAAAAATAATAATATTCATATATGATCACACCAATAAACGCTAAAACATAACTCTAACTAAACGCGAACACAGACAACGAAATCAGAAGAGACGCCATGAACAGGGGACAAGGGGGACATGGCGATTGAGGGGATTGGAGAGTTGCTCGATCAAGCCAGCATGAAGTGCATAGTTTATGCTTGTGTGTGTGTGTGTGTTGCTTGTTTACGTGTTTGCATGGACTAACTAACAGTACTAACGATTTACACAGATGTCGATAAAGCATTTATTCGATTTGCGAAACGCTTCGAGACAAACAAAGCACCGAAACACTGCCGCGACTCTACACCCTAGAATTCCTACAGGGAAAACACAGTGTAAGCATGACAATTACAAAAACATACATACATATATGCGGACATTCGTACAAAAACAGATCATCAAGGCATAGTTATTACTGTGTGTGGGGTGTAAGTTTAGATTTGTTTTGCATTTTGGAAACATTCTCAATCGATTCACTACTCCAAACCATTTCTCGTTCTCATCATCACTCTGCAAATCATTAATATATAGGTTTTTCGTACATATATATATATAGTTGTTCTGTGTGAGAGATACAGTGCCTATGTTTTTGTGTGTGTGAGTGTATGATGTATTTGTGTAGATTTGTGTGGGTTGTTAGTTAATTATCTAACGACTTTGGCTTTTCGAATGTTGAATTAACCACTGCAGCGTTATGTCAATGTTGTCCTTTTCCTTACACGAAATACTGTAACAGCAAATTTCACGGTCCTGTATGCTCGATAGATTCCTACAATGAAATTTATTATTATTACATGAATTTTAGGGGCCCGATATTACAATATTGTTGCTTCCAGCCAACTTACATTCGCTCGATGAGGCCAGTCTCGTCGAGCGCTCCTGGAAGATCACGTTTGTTGCCCAACACGAGCACTGGAATGCCGACCAGCTGCGGCTTGTCCAACAGCGAGTGCAGCTCGTTCCTCGAGGCCTCCAGCTTATCCAGATCAGCCGCATCCACCATATAGCTGTCAATTACATAATATTTTTAATTTGTGTCCATTATCCAATTATCCGATTGATAAGCTTACACAATCGCATTGACGCCGCGACAATACCGTTCCCACATGGAACGAAAACGGGGCTGGCCGCCAATATCCCAGACCTTGATGGTTACATTGCCTCGGGTTATTTTTCGCATGTTAAAGCCAACTGTGGGTATCATATCCTCAGCAAATTGGCCGGACTGCAAGGACAGAAATTAGTGATTAATGGGGAGAACATCTACATAGAACTAGTATCCAATTTCTACCATTTTAGGACAGCATTTTTACAAGAATGCCTTAAAGCGCGCTACGGTTTTCAATGAGAAGCAGCGGCCCCTGCTACTACTACTGGAACAGATCTTAAATATTTATAAACGAGCACGATAAGCAGTGGAAAACTCCCAAGGCATTCCAGGCCTAAGCTTATTGCATGCGGGTACATTTACATGACTCATAGTCGCCTCCTCCTCCACCGCAATGCTGACTCGAATCGTGGTTGTAACTGCGTTTTGCAGCTGATATTTAAATCTGGATCGCGACTTATCAGCACGCAAATGGAGAGTGAGAGGAGATTGTACATTGTACAGCGAGTAGGTGGAAGAGTGGGGAGCCGGTACAATGGGCGGGGGTCAGCTGGTCCCTGGACGCTGATAATGCGTCATTGTTTCGAACATGCGTATAACGTTTATTGATTATGAGCGAACATAAAATGTAGCGCTAAAATAAAACAGTTAGCACAGCGTTAATAATTAATGCAATGGCGAACAAATGAAGAAGCTGGCCTGCCCGATAAGGCGGCCAGCGAAGAAACAAAGGCAATCAATAACCAAACACCGAGACCTGGGGCCAAGTTCATGGTGATTGCTCACGCTCACTCGTCCGGGAGCGAGGGTCTGTGCTCGCTCGCTCTCTCCTTCTCTCTCTCTCTGTGCGATTCTTTTGTCAGTCGTGGGGTTAATTTCGTTTGTATTATTTGATGGAATTGTCATAGTCCCCGGCTTTCTCTGCCCCTCAGCGCCTCCTCCTACACCATAACGTAAGCAATCAAGCAAACCCTCACACACACACAGTTGCGAAAACGGCGCACACACTGAAACACACCCATATGCAAATACTCACTGCAATAACATTGACGAACGTTGTCTTGCCCGAGAACTGCAGTCCCACTAGCGTCAGTTCCATCTCCTCTTTCCAGAAGATGCTCTTGAACCAGTCCAGGATTCTGTTTATGAGTGCCAACATATTTGCACTGTTTTATTGGGCTTATTATTCGAATTCTTTGGACAAAAAAAGGTTTCCAAAACGTAAATGGCGTTGGCGTCAGTGTGACCGCGGATTTATACATTCAGAAATACACCGAAATATACCTTTGACATTTTCATAATATACCGTAAATATACCGAGGAAAAAACGAACTTGACCCATTTAACCCCCCTCAATTAAGGCAGGCAGTATTGGCAAATTCTACTTCCTCGTTATTTATAAACAAATATTACCACCTGAACTGCGCTAAAATTATTCAAGCTTCATAATATTGTTTGACTGGTCGACAGTGGGTTAATCGTTGGTTGGTCCAAGATTAGAAAACATATTCCTAGATTTTGATATTCGGCTTAATATTACTAGCAAGCTAAGACTCTCAGCCCTGAATGTATAATTTTATCCGATTGATAAATCAGTTTTCTATCAGATTGGTTAATACTAAGGACTTTTTGTATTGGATTGGTATGAAAATAAGGTTCAAACTAAATAGGTAAAATCATAAAACTTAATTGTGTGCGGAATGTGACGTCACAGTGGGACCGTAGTATTGTTGATGTCATCGATACAAATTTTAGATTAAGTCCCAACATACGGAAATGTACTAAAAATCTTGATATCAACTTTATTGTTAAATTTTGAGATGTTTCTGAAGAATACAAAAAAAATAACCATCCAGCAAACATTTTAACAATTCAGGTCCTATATTATAGGATATATATACAAATATATCAGATATATTATTTAGTCCAAAACTATCGAGTGTCAATATCGAAAATGTTTGTCGATCCGTGGCGAATGGCAAAAACGGCAGAACAAGAAAGTAAACAAAATGGTAAGTTGGCGATTTATTTAATGAAATTCTAATAAAATGTGTATAAACTGTGTACTTTTAGGCGAGAAATGCGGAGAAAGCAATGTAAGTGTGTTCAATAAAATGAGTTAAATCGATCTTCAACGTTTCTTGGCCCTACTCCGGCAGGACCACATTGGCACGTTGGCGGGCCGCCAAGGAAGTGGAATCTGGCGAAAAGGAACGCCGCCCGTACCTGGCCTCCGAATGTGGCGATCTGCCCAGATGCGAGAAGTTCCGCTTGGAGATTATACGTGAAATATCCAAGAAGGTTGCACAAATACAGAATGGTATTAATTCGATTTCCATCGCATAAAATGGCGGCTTATTCTCGCTTGGCTTCTCCTTTCAGCCGGTCTTGGCGAGTTCCGGATACGTGATCTGAACGATGAGATCAACAAGCTGCTGCGCGAGAAGCGGCACTGGGAGAACCAGATCTCGTCGCTCGGCGGACCACACTACCGACGCTATGGACCGAAGATGTTCGATGCGGAGGGTCGCGAGGTGCCGGGCAATCGTGGCTATAAATACTTTGGTGCCGCCAAGGATTTGCCTGGCGTGCGTGAACTCTTCGAACAGGACCCACCGCCGCCGCCTCGCAAATCGCGCGCCGAACTGATGAAGGACGTCGACGCCGAATACTATGGCTATCGCGACGACGAAGACGGAGTTCTCATTCCGCTGGAGGAGCGTATCGAACGCGTTGCCCTGCAAAAGGCCGTTCAGGAGTGGCGCGAGAAAATGGCTCGCGACGGACGCATTGTCGACGACGACGAGGAGGAAGATGAGATATATCCACTTTCGGGACCTGCTCGCGAGGCTGCCGAAGATGCCAAGGCCCGGGCAGCTGTGGACGATCCGCATGGCCTGCTGGCGCCCAAATTCACTGCCCATGTGCCCGTGCCGACGCAGCAGGATGTGCAGGAGGCGCTCCTACGCAAGCGCAAACAGGAACTGCTCGAGAAATATGCCGGAGGTACCAATTAGGTTTTCAATAAAGTGTCCCAATTTTCAAACTTGAACGTAAATTTTGGGGTTAAACTTTAATAGCGAAGGGTAACAAAGATACCTCTGGGTGTAAGGGGAAAAATGGGCTTAAGTTCATTCAAACTTAATCGCAAGGCATTGCTCAATGTGCTGTAGTCGCTTAAAACTATCCCTCTTTTTTGTTTGGAGCTTTTGTGCATAGGAATCTTTTGGTTGATATACACCCAAGCCTCATTTGAAGTGTTGTCTGTCTGCATCGGGAAGCATAATACGAAAGGAAATAGTTGAACCGATAATCCTGTCGGTCGTTGTCATCTTCTTGACAAAGAGGGTTAGGGTTAGTGAATGATGGGGGTACGTCTCGTCTCCAGCAGCTCAGTGGCGTGCTTCACAGAGTGTGTGGCTTAAAACTAGAAATTTTGTGCTTTTGTTAATTAATTCAAAACTCAAAGCGATCGAAGCGACCGCCCCCGCCACCGCGTCCTCCACCGCCGCTGCGGCCACCACCACCACCATAGCCACCACTTCCACCACCATAGCCTCCACCGCCGCTACGTCCTCCTCCGCCGCCTCCGCCTTCAGCGGCGCGGCGCTCCTTCATGGCCTTGAAACGTCTGGCCATGTTGTGAAGCTGCTCAGGAACCTCCTGGTCAGCCTCCTGCAAAATGTTAATCAGCTCTTGGGCCATTCCCCAGTCCGAACGTGTGATAAAGCTAATGGAGGTGCCGGTACGGCCAGCGCGTCCCGTACGGCCCACACGGTGCACATACTCCTCGATGTTGCGTGGGAAATCATAGTTGATCACATGACTGCCAAAGATGGAATGGAATGGGATTTAGAAAGCTGCAACAAACCCCCACCCAAGTGCTGCCTTACCTGATATCCTCGATATCCAGGCCACGAGAGGCCACATCGGTGGCTATGAGAATACGCACCACGCCCGACTTAATGTCGGCTATGGCCTGTTCGCGGTCACTCTGATCGCGACTGCCGTGTATGCACTGGGTCATGAACCCTTCCAGGGTCAAGTCACTGGATAGATCGTCGGCGCGTGCCTTGCGGCCGCAGAAGACGATTATTTTGTCGGTCTTTGTCATGTTCTTGACAAAGGATTTGATGATGCCGTATTTCTCAGACTCATCCTCGAGCAGCTCAATGACCTGCTTCACCGAGTGTGTGGCTGCCAGATCGAGGGAACCGACGCACACCTGGATGGGATTGTTCATGTAGCTTTGGGCGAGACGGCGCACGCCAGGCGGCCAGGTGGCCGATGTCATAATGGTCTGGCGATCGGGACGAATGTCCATCAAGACCTTGCGTATCTGGGGCTCGAAGCCCATGTCCAGCATACGATCCGCTTCGTCCAATACCAGATAGGTGATGCTGCTTACGTCTATGACATTGGCCTGAACCAAATCGTTCAGACGCCCGGGCGTACAGATGATAATCTCCGCTCCACGCTCCACATCTGAGATCTGATTGCGACGACTTCCGCCTCCATAAATGCAAACCCTAAAAAGGTGGAGTTGAAATGCGTCAGAGATGTTCTCTCACTCAAAAATACGTTCAAACTTACGCCCTCATGTCGCGGAAAGAATACTTCTTCACCTCCATTTCAATCTGGAGCGCCAGCTCGCGAGTGGGCGCCAGCACAAGGACATTGGCGCCGCCACGCTGACCCCTGGGAATGCTTTGATACTCGGTGTGTATCATGCCGGGCAGCAGGAAAGGCCAGCGTCTTGCCTGTGCCGGTCTGGGCAATGCCAATCATATCATGACCCTTGAGCAGAATGGGCCATGCCTGCGACTGAATGGGCGAGGGCTTGGGGAAGCCCTGCTTCTCGATTTCGCCCAGCAGATCGGGATATTCGGCAAAGCATTGCTCGAATTTCCATACTGGATTCGGTATGGGTGGGGCAGCTTCGCCCTCCTTCGGCTCAAACACAAGGGAAACAGTCGTATTGTTGTTCTCCGTGTGCAGGCGTTGCACTTCCGCGTCGCTTAGGTTCGCCACCTCAGGGGCCTCCTTGTAAAAGTTCTTTGTCAATTGGGGAAGTTTGGCCCAACGCGCTGCTGCAGCTTTTTCCTGTAATCAATTGGGTGGCTTTAAATTGGGTTCAGACGGGAAGTTATGGGATGAGTCACTTACAGAGGCCTTGTTAAGGCCGGCCCAATCAATGGTGCCAGTTAAGTCGCCATCTTGATTATTATTAGATGAGGCATCGTCATAGCTGCTGCTAGGTTCGGTACGATACCGACCATAGCCGGATCCACCGCCACCTCCTGCGCCATAGCTGGAACTACCCCCTGCGCCATAGCTGGATCCACCTCCTGCTCCGTAACTGGATCCACCTCCTGCTCCGTAACTGGAACCACCTCCTCCGCCATAGCTGGATCCACCGCCTCCTCCATAACTAGATGTACCTTCATCGCCGCGACCATGGGAGCCTCTGTCCCTGTCGCGATTTCCCGAATCGCTTGATATCTGATTTCGTATGTAATTGGCGGCATCGCTGACGTTCCTCTGGATATTGCCCAGGATCTTCACAGTCAAATCGCCCTTATCCACGTTGACGCGCACATCGAAATCGGTTTGGATGCGAGTCACATTGGATCCAGCGCGGCCTATAATCCGTCCAATCATGTCTGCGCCAATATTGATCACCTCGGAGAGAGCGTACTCCGCGCTTTTAGCAAACCCTCCGCCACCATTATCACTGCGCTCGCGGCGTCCCTGACCATGACCATAATCGTCATGGTTGTCCCTGTTGCGATCGCCGTAGCCGCGCTGACCACGCGAGTTTTCGTCGCGTCTCACGTTGCGCTCGTACTTGTCGTGAAAATCCTTATTATCACGCTTATACATATTAGTTGCAGGTGCGTGATCAGCATCTGGCTCATCCCAGTCTAGTTCTGACATTTCGGAAACAGCTCTTCGTTTTATTTTGAGAGAAAATGCAGCGCCCAGCCAACACGTGAGAAATTATCACTTTTGCACAATTTTTCTGCTGATGCAGCGCTTAAACGGTAAATTTGTATGTGTATGCGAGGCAAAATGGCGGCAAATGTAGCGTTGGCGCTGGCGAGAGCGAACAAGTCTCTGCGGCCTGCTATCGACGGCTGTGTTCCAGCTAACTTATTTCTCAATGGTGCTGAACAACATTTATTTGGTTTACCTTTCAGTTTAAAATATATATTTTTACCGGCAACCACTAAAAAACGGAGCTTTTGAGTTGTTGGCAGTGTGACCGTGGATTTATCTGTCAAATATACCGCCTGACCCTCGGAAATATACCTTCTCTTTTCCATAAAATAGCGTATCGAGTACGGTAGCACTGTTTTTAGGGTCCGCTTTGGCGGTTCGGCTTGAATTTCAAAAAAAGATAATGGAAAGCAGCATTGTTTGGTTATGTTTATAATTTCCGTTTACTTAACACACGGGTAACACACGTTTCGGGTGCAGCTTAGCCTAATAGACTTACGACCTAATACAAATCAATCAAACTGCATTCAATTCATCTCACGCTCTTGGTTTATATAAATAACTAAAACTAGAAAACACAAACACAAAACTTTCCTCACTTTAAGAATTCATTAAATATGTGTGTGGTGTGGTGTGGCGTGGGGCGGTGTGCTGTGGCTATAGCTGTTTGATAAAACTTATAACAGTTTTGATACGATTTTTCTCGCTTGTGAATATGGCCAAGTGGGGGGAGGAGTTTGGTTTTTGGTTGATTGGGAGGAGTACGCTTTTTGGGGGGTCTGTGTGGCAAGTTAGCAGAAATATAGTTTTCCCGATTCTCATTGTTCTACGTGAAGTTGTAATATATTGTATGCGCGCGTGCGTGTGTGTGTGTGTAGATATAGTTAAGATTCGCTTAGAGTCTAGGTGGAGCTTTTTATGATATAAATTAAGCTAAATTAACATATACGAGGTTTTCATTTTTCTCTTGAACAACTGATGATAGGTTCCTGCACAAGAGCAGATCCATCCCCCTGCTAATCAATTCCAGTTGGTTCTTTTGGATTACATAGTTTTTGTTTGTTTGTTGTTTGTTGTTTGTTGTTGTTGTTGGTTTGGGGGGTGTGGTTTGAAATACATTTACAAAAGCTCTTAACAGTAACAATCGTTGGACGTCAGATGAGGTCTTCGATCTGACCATCCAATTGGTATTCCGTCTGGCATCCAGGAGCAGACATCCCTTAGGTACGGTGTATGTACAATTCAAATTCAACAAATTTAAATGTTCCAGTCTCCAGGTGACGTGACGCAGTTCTGTTGTCCGAACCCACGTCCATGCCGCTGTCGGTGTATGGGAGTACCATACCCAATTTGCATCAGCCAAATGTATACACATAAATTTCAGTTTATTCACAGCTGCTTGGTACGGCGGTACGGCTCCGGTTCTCAGTCCCTTGACGCGGGCACCGCCAGATTGTTGTTGTTGGTGTTCTTGGGAGCATCCTGCATGATCAACTGGTGCTGGGGCAGCGCCTCACAGCTGGGCGTGGCTGGGGCCGTGGGATGCCGTGTGCCAAAGTTTACGGATACGCAGGATATGGATTTTGGTATAGCAGCGGGCGCGGGCGCGTAGCTGGACTCGAGATTGAGCCGGAGCTTGGCGGGGGAGTTGCGCTTGAAGAGGGCCAGCTGCCGCGTCGGCGATGCGGCGGACGACGACGATGCGGAGCAGGCGGAGGCTGTGGACAGCAGGGAGCAGATGCCGCTGCTAGTGGAGGAGCAGGGTGAGTCCAGTTCGGAGACGGTGGCCGCCGCCGAGGTGCTAGGCGCCTCATCGTCCGGCGTAATGGGCGGTGAGGTGAGCCGCGAGGAGCAGTTGCTGCCCGCAAAGCTACCGGCGCCACTGTCCACGTCGTCATAGTCGTACACATCCTCGTCCATGGCCTCGCTGTCCGACTTGGACTTGCGCTGCTGGTGCAGCTCCTCTTCCTCCTCCCGCTCCCGCTCGGGCTGCTCCACCAGTTGACTAGAATGGGATACCGGAGATCCCGCCGTGGAACCGGCCGATGTGGGGGCGCTGTGCGGCGAGGCTGGTGCCAATACGCCGCTCTTGCGCAGGCTCTGCTCCAGCTCCAGCAGCTGTCCCATGAAGTTTAAGTTGGGTGAGATGATGGGTCGTGCCACTTTCACCAGCTTGTAGGCCTCCAGCAGCGAGAGCGCCTTGTGCCGCATGACGTAGGCTATGGCGATGGTGGCGCTGCGCGAGATGCCCGCATGGCAGTGCAGCAGGACGCGGGAACCCGTTTTGCGTGCGTCTTCTGCAATGGAACAAAGAGAGAGAGAAGAAGGGGGATTGGTTAGTAATTGATAAAGCGCTGATGATTTGCATAAAACAATCTGGAATCAATGGAAATGATTGCTCTTGCTCGTGCTCCTCCTCCTCCCCCCTGCCAACCACCCCCCTTTCCCAATTCTATCGTGGGAGAGCGAGAGACGGTCAGAGAGAAACTTTTGTGTGCCGTTGGTTGTTGGCTGTCAAAGCTTTGATGATGTTGCTGCTCGTGCTCTCTCTCGCTCTCGCTGTTGATATTGGTGCTGGCTGTCGATAATGCTTGCACTTGTAGTGGTGTGGTGTGCACACACCAATACTTCTTGCTTTGGCTCGCTCGCTCGCTCGTTCCCTCTCCCACTCTCTAGCTGCTGCTGCTGCTGTGTGAATTTTGCTGGATGAGTCATCGCACGAACAGCGCTTGCTGCTGCTGCTGCTGCTGCCGAGGCTTTGACAGAACATTTTTATACCCCGCACACACACACACATACACATGCACGTGGGCACATTAACTCATAATTTACGTTGTTATTTTTGGGAAAGATAAGCAGAAGCACAAGCAGCTCCAGAGGCAGAGGCAGAGGCAGAGGAAGAGCAGGGCCAGCAGTGCCAGCAGCGGCAGGGGAAGAAGGAAAAGAAGAATCCATGGAGGCAGCATACGGCGTACTTTCGAAGGCTCAACACAAAACGATAAAAAGTGAAGCCACCACCCGAAAAAAATAATCGCAATCTAATCGCAAGGACACACACACACACACACATTCATGTGAATTTTTCAGTGGTGTGGTGTCATTTGGGGTGGGGTGGGGTGGAGTGGAGAGTGGAGTGTGGTGTCGTGGGGCGCATTTCCTAATCGATGGTTACTCATAATGCAAACAGGCGCCCCAGCACTTGTCTGATTTCCAAACATTTACAGCCGATAACGGGCAAAAGCAAAGCAGAGCCTGCCTTCCTGCTGCTGCAGCCGTCAGTCAGTCAATTAGTCACCCAGGCAGGCGCCTGTCTCCTGCACACACACACACCCCCTCCTCCATTCCTTGGGTGATATGAAGGTGATATCAGCGATAAAGCTGGCAACACTCGTAACAGAATTGCAATACTGTCAACCTTACCCACGTCCCTTCCACACCACCCCACCACAACCCGTTGCGAGCAGCTTGTTTTCCATCTGAAGTGGGTGGAGGAGATATCAATGTGTTTGATTTATCAATGAATGGGTGCAAAGTAGACACCGATAAGGCAACGGTAACGACAACTGTAACCGGCCACCCCTAACCTAACCAGCACTATTTCGATTTCACAAATTTCGAGTATTCCCATTGCCATTCCTAGGCCGGAGTCAAGTGAAATCAAATCAAATCGAGTTACCTCGTATCAGGGGGCGACAATGATGATATGGCAATTATAAAGAAAGAAAAAAAGAATGGGAAAATCCATCATAAATAAATAATACCGATAAGCAAGGCAAGCAAATGCCAGGTACTGGAGCACCCGAAATGTACGTCATATTCCCCGAAACGGATGATTGGCTAAGAGTCCCATAGAGAGAGAGAGAGAGAGAGGGGGGAGCCTTCACATGGAGTATAGTAGCCAAAAATAACCACTCTATGAATAGAGATGGAGAGAGAGATGGTCATTAAGCGTACAATGGCAGACAATTGGTCACCGTCCGTTCCCGTCATCGCGGCCGAGTCGCACGGCGCTCATAAATCCTCTTAGTTAATGACCCCGTCGCGTAGACAGTTAAAATCGCGCATAAAGCGCGCCGCCCGGCCGCACAGACACACACACAAACATGACTCATGTGGCAAGAAAAAGCCTAAGAGGTAGATGGGAGGGAGATGGGTGGTTGAAGAGGAGAGAGCAGTCCGTTTAGAAGTTTGGCTCTAAGCAGAAGAGAGTACAAGTTCTACTCTTTGCTTTCCTTTCTCTCTTGAGTTGCTTTCTAGTTGATCCAGAGGAAGAAGGAGGTGAAAGAAGGAGCAGCAGTACTTAAACTTTCTCCCATTCTTTGGGGCACTTTGAAGTTATTGGGGAAAGAGCAGACAAAGACGTTTAGCACTACGGGTTGGATAAATTTATTAATTGCTCGAATTATGGCTCCGACTGATTGATCTCTTGCCCATGCTAAAATGTTGTTCCCCAGCTCCGTTTCCCGCTCAATAGAAACCTGCTAGTCATGCTCTCACTCTCTTGCTCTCTCTTGAGTCATCCGTTGAGCTCTTCTAGTTAAATGATTGATCTCTCTCGTCCGAGAGTGTTCTTCCCCCAAACTCCGTTTATGTCGATTGTTTATTTGTTGATTTCGACGAAAGCTTTAACGGGAAATCGAATCCCTGGGTTACTCATTGGTGGGGAATTATGGAAAATGATGAATTGTTTGTTGTTGATTTTTTGCTTTGCATATTTCTAGGGCTTTTGTTTGTTTACAGCCAAAGCGGAACTCGAAAGCTGTGCAAAAGCATTCCATGCTGGCCTGGCCTGGCCATGCCCCCCCCATGGGATTATCGGGAAACCGGGCTTGGGTAATGTCTGAGTTGACTGTCATATGTTTATGGGTCTGACTGTGCCAATAGAGGATGGGGATTACTAATCATTGGCTAGCAAGCAAGCAAGCAAGGGGGAGGGCGGACGGTCGGTCGGGCGACACTTATGAGTAAGCCCCCCTGGCACACCGGGCGCCGCATAGTCCGGCGATGAGTGATCCCCAGTCGTGTCTCGTCTCCATATTGTGTACCTCTCTCTGACATGACTATAATGGGGCAATGGACATTCATAGGGCTGCTGCTGCCGGCCGCTGTCTGACGATGCGTCGTCGTCGTGACTCCATTTCGGGGGCACGCTGATGCTGATTGTCGTCGATGCGTAATGCCAACATTGGGTAGTCCCCCCACCCCCCACTGCCTAGAAACCAAATAGCTATAGCGCCTGCTGATGATTAAGTGCAGCAGCGCAGCAGTTCTATGG